TAAATGCATTGAATGGCAATAAAATGATTAGAAATGCGAGACCGGCGAGAGTTGCGACACCTAATTGTTGCCACAATAATACCGAAGCAATTAATATGTAAAAAGGTATCGACCATATGTAGTTTGCGATTAATAAAAAATCTACTATTCTTTAAATGTCGACAGACATCAGGTTTACTATTTCACCAGAAGTGAAATCATTTCGACCACAATTCGATAATTTTAGGCTCTATATTCATAATACATATAAAGTCATAATACATCATTAGGTGCATTTTTTAAAATAATTACTAACATGAAAATGTGTCCTCAATGCATAGCCAATTTATAAATGGATTGGTATTTCTGTATTCAAGGGTCAAAACCTGCGAACGGCTACATACAGCAAAGTTTTGATATAAAGTTACATATACATTTTGATATGTATTTCTAATCACTTGCGTAGGCTTTATAACTAGTGTTGCCAACTGGTCAAGGTTTGCCTTGATTTGCAAGGTGAGAAGGTTCTGGTCAAGGTGAAAGACGAGGGTCTCACCTTGACATAGACAGGTCAAAGCAAGAGCAAATGTAATTACCGTATGTCTATTTTAGGTATTTATTATAATGAACACACTATCTAAAACCCAGAATAATATTTATTATTTATTTGTATAATAGCAAAACAAATCCTTTATTAAAAACCCTTCATAATGAAGTAAAACAGTATAAGTATATGTAAAAAAAGAATAGATTAAAGATAGAGATAACAAATATTAACTCTTTATTTATCAATTTATTGAACAACTTTTAATCGTACTTCGATTGTAAGCTTTTACTTATCAATTTATTGAACAACTTTATAATCGCACTTTGATTTCAAGATTTTTATTTATAATACACAACTGATAATCAAAATGTTAGACAAATATTACTGATTATAACTGTTATACTGTATGTAATCATTTTTGTAAACGATTTTATTAATTGAAGTTTAGTATATAAGCTTCAATTGAATACTGTAAAAGTTAATCATTTTTTGCATTAATAAATATTTTAAATTATAATATTTGTGAAAGTGATTCACACCATAGTTATGCTTATTATGTTAAACTTGTCATGAGTGGAAGGTGAGCTGGGTAGCCATTGGTGGCCATACAAGTCGTTGATTCCCGGACAGGACGTTGGATACCGTATACGCCGTTGGTTACCGTACAAGCCATTGGTTGACGAACAACACTTTGGTTGCCGTACCAGACGTTGGATACCGCACACGCCGTTGGTTACCGTACAAGCCATTGGTTGACGTACAACACATTGGTGGCGGTACAAAACATTGGATCCCATACAAGCCATTAGTTGCCGTACAACACATTGGTTCCCGGACAAGACATTGGTTGCCGTACAACACATTGGTTGCCGTACAACACATTGGTTGCCGTACAACACATTAATTCCCGGACAAGACTTTGGTTGCCGTACAACACATTGGTTCCCGGACAAGACATTGGTTACCGTACAACGCAGTGGTTCCAGTACAAGAAGTGGGTAGCCATACAGGACGTTGGTTGCCGTACAACACAGTGGTTGCCGTACAAGCCATTGGTTCCCGGACAGGACGTTGGTTGCCGTACAACACACTGGTTGCCGTACACGCCGTTGGTGGCTTCACAAGACGTTGGTTCCCGTACAAGACAGTAGTTCACGGACAAGACAGCAATTCACAGACAAGACAGTGGTTCCCGTACANCGTTGGTTCCCGTACAAGACAGTAGTTCACGGACAAGACAGCAATTCACAGACAAGACAGTGGTTCCCGTACAGGACCTTGGTTGTCATACAAGTCGTTGGTTCCCGTCCAAGACAGCAGTTCACAAACAAGACGTTGGTTGCCGTACAACACATTGGTTGCCGCAAAAGACGTTGGTTACAGTACAGAACATTGGTTGCCATAGAAGACATTGGTTACCGTACAACACATTGATTGCTGTACAAGATAGTGATTATAAGTGTCAACAGTGTTGTGTAATCATTATTTAATAAACGAATTGGACGGTTGAAGATCAGTAGGACGCCCTATCACGTACAACGTATAACTATAGGCATGTGTGGAGAAGTCTGAGCCGCCGATCGGTATCCAACCCAATGTGTACTCAATACCCGTTTCCCCAAATATATTGCAATAAATATGAGTGATTTATTTTACACAGTTAATTTAACAAATCTATTTTATATTACCAATACTTTGGTTCATATCATATTATTAATATGTAAAAATATAAATATTTTCTGTCAAATATAGGCGTCATCTTGCAGTGCATTTAAATCAAAATTAATTATAAATTTGCAATTTATATCCCGATGTAGTTTATACTATTTCAAATAAAATGAACTGTAAATTTAGACTAATTAAACGTTTCAAATAATTGTTAGCAAACTTTATGAATTAAGACTACATTTACATGACATAGGGTGACCAGAAATTTTTAGGAAATTGGAGGACATTAGCTAAAAATTCAATATCTAGCGGAGGACGAACGGAGGACACTATGTTTTTTTTAGAAATGCTAATGTTATAGTAAATGTGGTGCGATATTCTTTATTATAACCTTAAACTGTGTTCATCATGGACGATAATACAGATCTTAGATAAAATGAGCTCAAATCAAACCTACTTTAAGAAGTACATAAATTACCAATTTATATTAAACGTATTTATTTGAAATATAGTTATAGCATGAAGAGAACGTTTTAAATTATTGAACGGTAACATATTTTAGAAATAATAGAAACTAAGAAAATATATTTGTAAAATATTTGTAAGATAATATTTTAATATAATATATTCCTAAAACCCCTAACGGAGGACAAAGTATAGTCCTCCGGAAGGTCTCCGGAGGACGGTACATAAAATGGTCAAATGGAGGACAATCCTCCGTAACGGAGGACGTCTGGTCACCCTATGTACTGTACAATGACGCCAATATTTGATGGATAAATGCTTACATGTCTGTTGTCTAACAATATAAGCAGTTATTATTGCACGCATACATTTCATTTTATTGTAAAATGGAATTCTTGTAAACGTAGAGCATAATAAGCTCGTAACTCTCTATAGTTAATTGGCTATAGTAATGGTTGTGGTTATAATTATTATGCCAGTATACACGTAACGTAAATTAATTTCTCATTAAACAACACAATGCTTTTCACTAAACAAATCTATTTATAGGCCAGTCTATACGATACATTAATATTTTCACTCAACGTTGGAGGGATTAATGCAAAACCACTCCTAATATGTAATGTTTGAATGACAGAGAGACAATAATTTAATAATAGGGGTAATATATGGACCATTTTGGCCATATCATGACATTGTTGACAATTAATTTGATATTACAATATGATTTTATTTTCCAATATAATAATAGTTAATAATAAATGTTATAATAATATAAATTTTAAATATAAACATTAATTATACTTTCAATAAACAAATTTTTAAAATATAAGTTGTCTTAATCATCTCCGATATTCCAAGTTAAGGACAAACATCCAAATGGCATTAAGTTCCCAAGGTATTTCTTATGGACAATCAGTAGCAGCTACAAGTAGGGTTGCCAGAAGCTCCCGGTTGCCCGGGAGTCTCCCGGAATCAGGGTCCGACTCCCGTCTCCCGGCGGGGGTCTCGCCTTGATATGGGGAGCTCCCGGAATTGCATGATGGTAAACACATTAATAGAATTTACACTTTTTGTTTGGAAACCTGCTATAAAGATGAATACTAAAATTATTGCATTCAAAATTATTTTTTAACTTAATTCACAATATTTAATTTCTCTTGAATCACATTGAGTATAGTAATTTAAGTGAATAATGTCGCAAATAATGTAGATTTAAACGTTATTTCGAGTTTTTACTGATTATTTTGATAATTATTAGTTGCGTATGACATTTTAGGGCTATTTTTTCACCTCAAGGAAAATATCAAGGAATTCTTTAGAAAAGCTCAAGGAATCTCCCGGAAAATTTACTTAAAAAATGAATATATCAAGGAAATAGGGTAAATGACCTGGCAACACTAGCTACAAGTCAAAAACATTTTGACTCAAAAAGTATTTAACCAATTTTTACAATTTATATCTCAAATTGAACAGAATGAAATTTAGCTTAAGACATATATTAGGATTTTTCTCATATTATAGTGTGACAGTTCTTGTATTAAAAGTCTGTGCACATAGATGGCGTGTGCGTACGGAATATCAATCATGTATGGTATGGGATGTATGTGTCTCCAACTCTGACATTAAGAGCTATAAGCTCAAAGTTTGGAATTTTAAAGTTTAAAATAGACTAATATTTTTATAAGTTTTTAAATCGACACTCCCATGGATATCTATTGGCTATTATTATGCAGTAGTAGTATTATTATTATTTCATGTATTTTAATGGGTTTCTTAATAAAAGAAAAGCTATGAAAACCAAGGATTAACTGACAGTGAGCAGGGTTTCTACGTCTACACCCATGGGGTTGTCAGGGTATTAATGAAACTTACACTATATTTATTCTATAACAATGGTTAAGTGTCTACTGTACTAAAGGCTACAGACACGGCGATAGTCGCCTTAACTCAAAGTATACAATAAGAATGGGCAAGTATACTTATGAGTGAGACAATACTTAGCGACACTTTAGATGGTCAAGTGTTCGGTGAGTTCCAATTAATGGGCATGTCTGAACATAACGTTACAATATTATTAAAGCATTCAAATTGTCAATTTGAAATTGCACAATTACTAGTTTAAAGTTTCAAGTGGATATATGTAATATTTTGTAAAATATAAAATTCTTAGTTTAAATTAATGTGTTAACGGAAAAAAACGTCAAAAAATTAACAAATACATAAATTATAATTAAAAATTAAATGTTTATTATTTGGCGAATAGTAAAGATAATTGAAATTGTTAATCAAATTAAATGTCAACTTATAAAGGAACAAGTTGTTTGCCACTAACAATATGTTAAACATTATTAATAATACGTCCGGTTGTTTGCATACAGCGCTCGGCGGTGAGCACGTCGTCACACACCCGGAGCCCAATTGCCCGCAACGGTTGCCCAAAGCGCTCGTCAAACTGTGCCGACTGTGAGTTTGTCATGTGTGCCCTCCAGTCGCCAATTATACCTTTCCGGACGAATTGTGCTCCGGGTTTGCTGTAACGGGTCACCAGTTTGGACCGATTGGCCATTGGATTGTCGCGCATAATCTTCAACGAACAGTGGGTCGTAATGTTGGCCACCGTTTCGGCCGTAAACTGTTTGCCGAGAAAGCGGGCAATTGTGTCAATCATTGCCGCCGAGTCTGCGATCAACTCCTCGTACGCTATGAACAGTACGTTCGGGTGATTCCCAGTGCCGTACGTGAGCCAGAAGTCGGTCACGTGTGACAACCAATCGCCGGTCATTAGGTGTCCGTCGAGAAAGAGTTGACAGTAATCGTCCCAATTGATGGCCGAGTGTCCGATCAGATGTTCGAAGTAATAATAAGAGACGCAAACGTCCTTTGGGTTGCGTACGATGTATATCATCTGTGAATTAAAATTAACACACAAGTTAAATATTTCTTATTTAGTTCTCTCTTTCTCTCTCTCTCTCTCTTCTCTCTTCTCTCTCTCTCTCTCTTCTCTCTCTCTCACCTTTCCCTCTTTGCACTCAAAACGTGGTAAGTATTTGAGTGGCAAATGATTGAAAGTAATTCTCGGATCAGTTATCCCTTCAAACCATTTATAATTACGAATGTCGTTTGAATAAATAATGTTAGGCACTCTCTCATCAATAAACCGATTGCTCACTCTATCGACCACTCCGTCGGCCATTATTACGGATACAATCTCTGAGAGCCAAGTGTTGCCTGACTTCGGGTAACCGCAGATCCATATATCTGTCGGCCTAACAGTGGTGTCCTTAACTGTATTGAGCCATTCAATACGACCAGGTTTATTTGGTATTAATAGACCATCGTGTTCAATATTGTCATTAGTTTTTGCGCTCTCAACATATTTAGCCCGGCGTTCAATTTGCTCGCTTGACATCGGTTTTGAATTCATAATAAATACTTACAATAATTATAAATAGTTTAATGTTTAAAAACTTTATTATTAATGATTTACAAACTTTTTCGCAAAAGTATTACAAGAATTAAGTAAATTTTCTATATCGGTAAAACTATTTTATAAAAATATGTATTTATTGCTTTCTCATTGACACAGAATACTCTTATAATAATTATTTATTTGTATAACATTAGGAATACATGCAATTAAATACCGTATAAAAGCCTCAATTCTATCAAATCATGAATAATTGGCAAATCATTTGATAAATTTATATTTTTTTGGACTATTAATTTTATAACGAGTGTTATAACATTGTCGTGACATTGAATACATAGGATATTTTATTTATAATTTTAAAATTATAACATATTAATTGCAAACTTAGTTTTTTTCCTTAATAATATAAAAATAAATGATTTTATACTTTCTTGTAGCAGATATTTATTATAACATTATAATTTAATACATCATTTACTAAAGTAGCTTGAGTTTGGAAACTATTAAAAACTATATATGATTAAAATTAGTTAAACAAAATAATAAAAATAAAATAATGGAAATAACCAAGGTGTACGAGGTTCTGGCAATTGTGTTAATTTGTGTACTATTTTACTTACTTATCGCATTGATTGTCATTTACTGTAAGTTTAAATACATGTTATTTAATAAATATGAAATAAAACTTATAATTAATAGGTAAAAATTGGGAGGCGTTGAGAGTTTACTGTCCGCCACAGGAGATGGATATTATGAGCCCTTTTCCATATTATTATAATCCGGTCTCAAATAATATTTATAGTAATTTTGCAAAACAGTATCCATAGAAACAGTATAGCATTTATGCAATATATGTATTGACATTATTGTAATAAATAGTAGAACTAAATAGATAGTAAATAAAATGTAAAAATTTGTAATATTGTACACATTTTGTACAAAAGAAGCATAGTTGAAGCAACCTTTAATCTACAGGTAAACACATACAACGTACATACCGTAGAGAAAAGCATAACCTTACAGACAATATTATGTCAAATTCAGTGAATATTTAATTACATAATTAATAAAATAAAAATTTAATTAAATCAATTAAGTATAACATTATTTGTACCTGAAATCCTACAATCATTATTTGTAGACTAAACTCATACTTGTGTACAGTCTTAGCAATACATAAACGCATCTCATTTAAGGCAAACCTCATACCAACGCACTGTCGAGGGCCGCACCCAAACGGCACGAACGCAAACGGCGGGTGCTTTACGTCGATGAATCTTTTGGGCTTAAATTCATCAGGGCCAACAAGTAGTCTTGAATGCATTTCCGTTGAACATTACTCAAATGTAGAACCAGTCTTAGTAAGTTAACTTTGATACACTATTATTTTTATTAATTTATTTTGTACATATGTAAAAAATATATTTTATAAATTATAATCTGATTTAATATTTTGCGCGCATTTATAGCCCGTGAGTATCGCTGCGGAGGCGGTGTTAGCGTTGGGTATAACGGGAAATACAGAGGCGTCGCAAACCCTTAGATTGTTGGCCTCCTTAACCCTCAACTGGGGGTCGACCACAACGTCCGGCCTCTCTATCGCACCCATACGACAGGTGCCCGACGGGTGATAACCAGAGTTTGTATTGTATTGAATATAACACTTCAATCCCTCAACGCATTCATACAAATACTGTTTGTCCGAACAGTCGGGACAACCTATTGATGAAAATGAAGGAAAAGGCTGTAAATATTGTGTTAATGTTGATTGTTCTAACATATAAAACACCATGGTCACCGCAACCAACATATCTTTTCTGTCAATAGGCTGTGAATACCAGTTCGGGTCAATCAATGGGGGCAACAATGGGTCGGTTGACTGGAGCCGTATTGAGCCGTAACATTTAAACCGCACTAAACCAACGGTAATGTATATAACACTAGAGATGTTTCCAAAGGACAATGTTCATATCCGGCCCAGAGTGCAGTAAGGAATTATTGTTATAAAATAAGAGTACACTAGTAAAGGAGTCTAATGGTATACTTCATTTGGCCAGACTACCTCGGGTTTGGCCGCAGTGGCCAGTTTTATCGGGAAAAATTTGAAGTCAAATCTTTTATTTTATGAATAAGTATATCATATTATATATCAATGGAAAGATATGGATGAGAGGAATATTATTCTGAAGGAATTACTTAATTCCGACGTAAAGGACGAAAGTTATATTGAAAATAAGAAAATCGTTATCACAATTGTACGTTATTTATAACGAATAACACTTTAATTTTAGCCAATTAATATAAATTTTAATTAAAATGACATTAATAATTATTATCGCAAATTAAAAAAATTATAAAATTTTTTAGTTATAATTTTTGGGCCATAATGCTATGGACTTTGAACAAATCCCTTTAAGCATCACATTCGGCCACTCTTTGTCTCGGTTTAAACGTGTGTTTAAAAACAATAGTAATGTGATAATGTTTGCCAACTGTCCATCATGTTTATAATACAGCTCTTCCAATTCATCCCATGTTAATTCCCCATAGACTCAAGAATCCCATGTTAAAGTATAACCATAGGAATAACATGGGATTCCATGTTAAATCCCATAGGGTGGGGGAGGGGAGAGGAGGGAGGGGGAGAGGCCGCCGAACGATCCTATAAACCACATTATTCCTATCAGAATTGTGGTTAAAAATTAATAGAATTATAGAAAATTAGCGCAATGGCCAGACCAGTGCAAAGAGCTTAACTCACCTTTGGCAAGGTTGGCCAACAATAAGAATGTAATTTTTCTGGGCATGTGGTCAGCATATGTGGACAAAACGGGTAAACAAAAGTCTGAATTGTTTGCCTCGTATGGCGTTCATCCCAATTTCTCCGGCTTTGAGGTTTGGTATAAAACTATGGATCCATTCCTTCGCAAACTCTATTCATTGGTTTAACACATATTTTATTGATTATAAAATAATATTTAATAAAAATACTAAATAAATTAAAATTTATAAAAATGTGTTATACAGTGTCTTCAGCCATTAACGAAGTTTTTGATTTTTTTATTATTCAAATACTACAAAAGATATTTTAATCAAATCAATTGCAAATTAAAGATAAATGTTTGACATTTTAGTTATTATTGTTAAATAAATGCTAGCACTGCAAACACATAACTACCGCACGCACTCAATATTCGGTTAAACAAAACTGTCGAAATTGTTCGTCTTTGATATCAAAATACCGAAAGTCCGGCGGCAACTGTTAAAGATTATTGGACCCTAATTGACCTAGTATTCCCTCTCGAGCCGCAGATGAGGAGTTATTGCATTATAATTTATACTCATCTATATTATCATAAACGATGATTCATATATAAAGTGACATTAATATATGATCGGGGTACTATTTATATGTGAATATTAAATACTAAAGGGTAGACTATAATTACAAATAGCGTAACATTTATTATGAGTAATGTAGGATAGATTACCAAGTTCAAAAAATAATCACGTCTACCTATTCGAGACTTTAGGAATTCATGCTAATTGACAAACATTCAACAATTACTCAGGAACCAATAGGGTGGCCAACTCGTAAATGGTTAATAGTAAACTATGGCTCTAAAATAGGCTAAAAATAGTAGACAAATAGTGGACATACTTTTTTATCATGTTTTTATATCAATTCTGTCTATTTTTTCACGAAATTTCTTCTAAAATTTATAATTAGCTGTATTAATTAGTTAAATTGTAATTTATAAGTATATTTTAGTATTGCAATGTATAAGTTATAAAACCTTTATTATAATTTGATTTTTACCTCAGGTTTATTAAAGTGATTTTATTATTAAAGTGAATCATTATGGTTAAAATGTATTAATATAACTATAAAGATTTTATAATCAAATTAATATTAAAGAGTTTAAAATAGTGGACAGTTAAATAACACCAGCGGCTATATATAAATCTAATCACAATAATTCACTATAATTACAAATTATTGCCAACTACTATTCAGTATAGTATAATCTATACTAGTCCAGTATTCTTGCATTCATTATATATAAATAAATAATTACTATAATATTTATTTATTGTAATAATTAATAATAAATTATCATAATTTTCAATTAATAAATACATGCAAGAAGTGATTACTACTAGTAAATTATGAATTATTAAATTTATAAACTATATTATTAATAATTTTTATGTACTTTTAGCTAAAGTATGTTAATTTTTATGAAAATAAAATAGTGGACATTACAATGTCCACTATTGGGACTTCAGTTCCTAGTGGACATAAACCCAAAATAGTGGAATGTCCATTCAAATAGTGGACAGTTGGCCAGCCTAGGAACCAATAACATAATTAATTTTTCAATATTTTCAAAATTTTGTTTTTTGTCTAAATTAAGATTTTAATCAAAATTTTGCAAACTTAAAAAATGACAAAGTTTAAACGCACTGATTCTCTGCTTGACGATAAGCAGCATTATAATGAACAAACGCCTAAAATAGTCACACCCGAAAACACCGATCGGGTTTGGGAACTACTGGCTATAGGGCAATTTGAAGTCTCTAGTGTATGCGAGAGACCACCAGACCATACCTAAACTCAAACAATCTATCTAAGATGTGATTTAAGCCATTTCAATAAAAATGACTAGAGCAACGATTAATAGGTTTTTTGCTC